GCCGCGGGCCCGGCCCGGCCCCCGGCCCCGGCACAACAAGGCCCCCGGCTCCCATGACACTGCCTGCCAGTCGCTCGCCCATTTCCTCCAGCGATAGACAGGTGACTGGTGGCGTCTACTGCGTGATTGTGGGACACACACACACAAACCCGAATTCGGAGCTCTCGGAAATTTTGAAATGAGTGAGTGCAATTGTGTTAGTGCATATGGTAAGCGTTGGCGGTTAATTCTTTTCGTTGTTTAACGTTGGATACATTTCGTGCAAACATCACTGGCTCTCTGGTCAAGACCAAATAGTTCGAATTTGTTGGCCACATACCTTCTGGGAAGGATAAGATCAGATGTCCAAAGCTTTTAAATTAGGCTCCCCAGAAGCATCACTGTATCTCCAACTAAATGGATAAGTGGATGGTTGGTACACAGAGGCAACGTACTTTTTGCCTACACCCACCAAGTGGCACATGGAGCTGTCAAACGCGATGTAGTTGTCAGGGGTCGTCGGTCGCCGTGGCCCCGCCACGCTGCCGTAGGCTACAAGCAAGGTCGGAAGTTGTTGCATTCTGAGTGAAACTCGCCTTCGCACTAGAGACAACATCTCTCATCGCGGTGCTGTGTAAGTGCGTTATTGTCGTGTCGCGCCTTTTCATCAAAAACTAACGCATGCGTGCATGACTGCAGACATATGTGGGATGTCATCTTTGATCGAAGTGACTCATTGTCATTACAGACGGGGTAAAAAGTATCTGTACATTCACTGTTAAAAATTTGTTGCGAGAATTCCCAGCAAAGGAAGTTAAAATGGTCGTTAAAAAAGGTGCGTCACGAGGCGCCAGTTTACAAGCCTAAATTCGACAGTTCAAATAGTCGTCGTCAACTTTGATATGCGCGATTTTGCGCTATCCTCTGAGACGTATTTTTAACAGTGATCGGAGTGATCGTTACAAAGGCTCGCTCCCGGCAAAGGTAGTTGCCGCCGCCGGGAGCAGCGCTGCCTAAAAGGATTCCAATGATTGACATTGGCCTTGGAGCACGAGCTCCCATTGTGTTTCGGCCAAGCAGGGAAAATTACATGTCACTGGCGCGTTATATCGAAGGCTGTTGTTGTGTCTCCTTGTTTTGACGGGTGCAATGACTGTTGCAGTGGGGAAGCGCGTGCTCTGGGCGACCGTGGTGCTGGCGGCCGCGCTCTTCCTCGGCGCCTCCCAGACCTTCGAGACTCAGGACGGTGGTGAGTGGGCGCGGGGCGCGCGGACCGCGAGGGCGCGGCGGCCGCGGCGCTCGCTCCCCGTCGTCAGGCAGCTCTTCGAGAGCCTGCTGCTGACCGGGCGCGGGGCGCGGCAGGCGCGGCCGGCGCAGTCCGGCAGCAGGCGGTCCAGGGCTGACTGCTGGCTGTGCGTTGCAGAGTGCACGACCCCGAACGTGACGACTAGACAAGGACAGCTGTGCGGACGACTGGTCACATCCCCGACGGGCGTCCTTTACCACTCCTTCCAGGGCATCCCCTACGCCAAGCCACCCGTCGGCGACCTGCGCTTCAGGGTGAGTCCACACGCCCACGCCCTCTGTAAAGAGGGCTGATATTTTTACAACCTCGGCTTAAAAATGAGCTCAAAAGTTGTAAAAATACGCGCAGTAACATTTTAACAGTGGAGACCTGCCGGTCCCCACACACTGCTCTCAACTTGTTGCTGATTTTCTCCCCCAGGAACCGCAGCCGGCCGAGCCATGGACGGGACTGCGCGGCGCCCTCCAGCCGGGGGCGGTGTGCCTGCAGTCGGGCCAGGGCGCCGTCCTGGAGACGCTCTCGGTGCGTGTCGTGTGTCCGCCTGACGTCACCCGAGCCGTCGCATCACCGTCGTCTTTCCTCACGCCCGCCCTGCCTGTTCCAGCCCACGGTGAGGCAGGCCGTGATCCTGTTCAAGGCGCTGCCCAGTTTCCTGTCCGGCTTCTTCCGCCAGCAGAGCGAGGACTGCCTGTTCCTCAACGTGTACTCGCGCGAGCTGCGGCCCGCCCGCCCGCTGCCCGTCCTGGTGTGGATCCACGGCGGCGGCTTCCACATGGGCAGCGGCGGCCCGGACCTGTACGGCCCCGAGTACCTCATGGAGGCGAGTAGCGCCGTCGTCCTGGTCACGCTCAACTACCGCCTGGGCCCGCTCGGCTTCCTCAGCCTGCCGTCCGGCGGCGTCCCCGGCAACGCCGGCCTCAAGGACCAGGCCGCCGCGCTTCGCTGGGTGCGCGACAACATCCAGGCCTTCGGCGGCGACCCCTCCAGGGTCACCATCTTTGGCGAGAGCGCGGGCGGCACCAGCGTCCAGATGCACATGGTGTCACCGCTGTCTAGAGGTCGGTCTCGCTGCCTCCCGGAGGCAGGGAGAAGGGGATGGGGAGGAGGGAGCAGGAAGCAGGGGGAGGGATCATCCAGAAAGTACGTCCGCCATTCGCCGTTGTGAAAGTGACAAGTCCAGCCAGCCTACGCAAGCTCCCATAGCGCCTGTGAGGTAGGCAACATCTTGCATGCAGTGCATTCGTGCACTGCGGGGGTGCCTATCCTACGTCTCGCAGGCGCCTGGCCGCCGTAATTCATTGCCGAATAATTCTGAGAAAAATTGACTTACTTACTGGACGATCCTGGAGCAAAAGGCAGGGAACGGGGACTTCCCCCAGCGGGCCATGGCGCCGCAGTCTGGTGGACTCGTCATTAATATTCATCAACGGCTTTCATTTCCATGTCTCAAAATATCCGCCCCTCAGAAACCGATTAGGGTGAGGCTGATAGAGGGGAAGAGATGGGAATAGTGGGATACACAGAGAAAGTGTAAATTTATGAAAATGGTGTTGCTGTTATCCATATGGTTACTTTTTGAGCGCTGTACCAGTTACGAATACTCTCTCGCCAGGTCTGTTCCACGGTGCCATATCCCAGAGCGGGTCCGCACTGAACCCGCGGTCCAGCACCAGCACCGCCGCGGGCGCGGAGCGCGCGCGCCGTCTGGCCCGGCAGCTGCAAGTCCAGGCCAGCGACGACGCCGACCTGGTGAGACGCCTGCGCCTGCTGCCAGGGAAGGTGATCAACTCCATGTCGGAGAGCGTCCTGACGGACGAGGAGCGCTCCCGCGGGCTGGCGGTGCACCCCTTCGTGCCGACCGCCGAGCAGGACGAGCCGGGCGCCTTCCTGCCCGCCACCCCGCAGGAGCTCGTGTACCGCGGGTTGTCCGCGCCCGTCCCCTACATCACGGGCATCAACAGCCTGGAGGCGGGCTTCATGATGAGTAAGTCTCGATTGGCCGCACCCGCGCGTCGTTCTCTAGCGCACCCCTAACACATCCTCGACCTCGACAGACAGGGAGCGCGACCTCGCCGGAGTGCACCTGGACAGAGAGATGGAGAACCTCGTGCCCTCCGACCTGGGAGTGCAGCACGGCTCGCCGGCAAACACCGAGATCGCTCGCGCGATGAAGCGAGCTTACTTCGGCGACAGCGACAGACCCTCGCAGATGCAGATGGCCGAGGTGAGCGTGACGTCACGGGCGTGGCGGAGTGGCAACGACGCGGGCCTTCGAACTGACCCCCTTGTCCAGGATCACAGTGTTTCATACTCTGTTGCAGTTCTACTCCGATCTGTTCGTCAACTGGGTCGCGCACAGGACGGTGAACCTGTACTCTCGGCTTGAGAGCCCCGCCCTCTACGTGTACCGTTTTTCGCACGACGGCGGCCTCACCCTCTCGCGTAGACTCTTCGACAAGAAGCTGCCAGGTGTGCATCCGGATCGGGGCGGGAGGGTGCGCTCCAAGGTCGTGTGCCTCCTGACCGAAGGGTGTCTGTCGCAGGTGTGTTCCACGGAGACGAATTGGCTTACCTCTTCACGCAGAGCGTCGTCCCGAGCGGCAACGAGTCAGAGCAGGACGTCCTCGTCAGAAAGCGAATGGCCGAGCTATGGACGAACTTCGCCGCTAGCGGGTGAGTGGACAGTTTTTTTTTGGAGGGGGCTTACGACAGTCAATTGTTGTGTATAACCGAGGGTCCGGTCCGCAGGAACCCCAACGGCGACAGCCCCCTGCTGACGACAAAGTGGATGTCCGCCAACAACCAGAGCCAGCTGTACCTGGAGATCGGCGCGGACCTCGCCATGAGGCGGGGACTGTTCTCCCCCAACGTGGGCTTCTGGGACACCGTGTACACCGTGCGGGAGGGCGGCGCGAGGACGTAGCGAGTGATACTGGTCGGGCGGAGGTGTGTGACAAGCGCTCATGTGATATGATTAGACGCTCGATAAAATAGTTGGTAGTTTGTAGTTTATTGAGAAAAATATTTTGGCTGTGATAAATGGAGACAATTACATTAATTTAACACGTCGGCCTCAAATGTGGCAACGAAAATCAGCTCCGGTCAAAGGCGTGAGAATGTATCTCCACTTCGAAATATTTAAATTAATACAAGTATTGTAAATAAACAATTCTGAAATTTTGATTGAAAGAATTTTCATTTCAAGGCAAGAGCTTTACGCGTTCTAATTCGCGGTCCCACCCAAACCACAAACCGAGTTAAAGACAGAATAATTCAACAACAACAACAAAAAAAGGAAATAAAGAAAATTAGACAGCTTCCGATTTTGAAAAGGGCAAAACCCACTGAGCTCACTTTTCCCATGGACGTGGGACGCGGGTGGCGCACTTAGCTGTAGGGGCGTCTCGCGGTCTTCTCGCAGCAGTAGTTGGCCACCTCGCTCATGCTGCACTGCTTGTGGCAGCACTCGTCCGCCACGCCCCTCGTGAAGCGCTTGTACGCGTCGCCGATCATGTCCGCGGCGCGCAGGCGGTCCCGGAACGGCGGCTGGTGCTCTGCCTCCTCGAGGTCCTCCAGGTCGTCGCCGTCCTCCTTCTTGGGCATGCTCGCCCACACCCAGTAGCTGTCTGCGATTGCGTCAACGACAACTCCCTCAGCGCGCGTCCACAGGGGGGCGGCCAGCGCAGCCAGACTCAGACACAATAATACTTATCAGGACGTTGCTGGGACTCACCGTCGATGGTGTTGTGGATGTACTTCTTGTCGCGGGTGTTGTAGCAGCCGTCGCAGACCAGGCTGAGCACTTGGGGCAGAGCCTTGCCGCAGAAAGTCTGTCCCCGCTCGCCTCCGGCCAGGCAGAAGAAGCACATGGCGAGGGCGAGCACCACCAGCCGCACACTGGCCACGCCGTCGCCGCACCTCATCTGCAACATGTAGGCGGGCAGAAACACTTTTATTTTGCAAAGGTTCTCCCTTGTAACACTCTCTCGGTACGGCGTGACAACAATTTGATCACGGTATGCTGTTTTTTCCAACCCCCAGAATGCACAGAGCAGCACACCATATCAGACGGGGAGGGCCGCCTGACGGGGCCGTGCGCTGTCCCTTACCTCGAGTGTGTTGTCTCGGTGTGGCCCGGCTCCCCTAGGTGTCTGGCTGCTGGATGCTCCCGGCTGAGAGGCAATCTCCCCTCAGAGTGGCACCGCCAGACCGGGGAGGGGTACTTTATACCGCCGCACACCCCTCACCCCCGTCAGGCCCCACGGGGGTGGCGCGGCGGCGGCGCGGCTGGGCGCGAGGGGCGGGCGCAGCTGACGCACGGCCACAAAACAAGCGCCACCCCCAGCCCGCCCGGGCCGCCTTACACCACACGTGCGCCCCTAGCGCCGACACTGGCTCCGCAAAGAGACTGCCCTCCGTGACGAGGACGGCGTGGTGGGGCGCCAGAGTTGTCTCCTCCTGGACCCCGGGGGGGG